TACTACATTAGTTTCCTGTTGTTTCTTTCTACACACATATATCCTCCAGTTTAGGGCTGCTTTTATTCTACCTAATAGCTTCTCAGAGTTTGTTTTTGTTAATTTTTATTAATAGCATGATCAGTAATATCTAGAGTCATGCTTCCTATGAGTTCTGCCAAGTTGATTTTTTGGAGAAAGCAGCCAAAAGCCCATCCTAGCCTTGATGTCACTGAACTTTTTTAAATAAGTATTTGCTCCCTAGAAACATGACTGTATCACCGCTTAAATCTGTCCACTCTTAGATTTGTCATCTATTCAGAATTTGATTAAATTGAATCTCTTCTTAGTAATTATTTAGTTTGCAGTAATTATTATAAAATGAGAAACAAACATCAAGACACTATTTTCAAGGACAGTTAGTGTGTAGCTGTATAAGATACAAGTGCAAATATGTACAAAACAGAGAAACAAACAAGATTTAAAACATTGCATACATTTCCTACAAGGGAACAAAAAGACTTTTACCTATACACATTTATGAGAATCAGCCATTGATGTAAAGTCCCCCTACACATTTCTCTGAGGCTATTTCAAGTCACAATTTTTAGAGCAGTAGAATAAAAGTGGAACACCCTATCAGCTTAACTTTCTGGGCCTCACATTTGTAATTACCAAGTACTTTCTTTAGGATAAACATGTCCCTCCATCTGTAGTATGTCTCTTCCAATCTAATGTAAAGAAAGGAGCAGGTTCAATATTTGAGCTAGTGACCACAATGCAAAATAAGAGAACACCGTGTATATTAATAATACCTTTCATAGTAGGCTGCTGAAAAACTAAAACTATGTAAGATGCCTGGTGCAAAATAAATGCTCAAAATTTCAGCAATTACCATTATGTAAAAAGTATTAGTTAACATTCAAAACAAGGTGAATGTAAAGTAGTGAAGTATTTTGTTTATTAAAGCATATTATTATATTTAGCTTTGCACTCTTGTTCTTAACATCTTAATGTTACTTTTGTATTACTGCCACTTTTGGATTTCTGATTTACAGTCAGGGATTTCTTGGTTTTTGTAATGCTTGCTGAAAGTGCATCATACATAAAACAACTATCATTGTGTTTGGGAGAATATTGCATTCATAGCTAATGCATTAGTGGTAACAAGATGTTTTCTTAAGCCCAATTAGGTTCCCTAATCAGCTTTTCCTCTGGAAATAGCTAAAAAGTATAGATTTTTAAAAATAAAATTTTAATGTATTCATAAACTGTTAAACTAGTTAGGATACTCAGAGACCAAAAACAATGAAAACAGAAACCTTGAGAGATAAGCAGAGCACTGCAGGAAGCTCTCACTTGGAGGAATTTTTCTAAACTGAGTGAACATGAGCTTTAGTTTTGTGGCTATTTTGTTTTGTTTTGATTTCTTATGGGATATCAGGGACCTAAAAATAAAATAGTTGAGGGCCTGTTCTGCTTACTGTGAATAATCACTTAGCTGACCAACATGCCTAACACTAGTATACCAAAGGGTCATACCCTTCGTGTGTAGGTGAAGTGAAAATCAGTAAACCAGAAACAAAATTTTTCTGTCTCAAACCATAGCCCTGATTGGGGGTTGCCCCTGAAAATTCATAACTATAGACTAATTCTCATGTGGATTTTCTGCCTAAATTTATAATATTAAAGTGTTGTGAAAAATTTGAAGCTAAGAACATTTTTAAAAAGTTACCCAGATAACGCTGATTTTGCCAGATGTGTCAGAATGACATGATTGCTAGAGAAACCATTTTGAATCCCAACACATGAAGCTGTAAGAAATATGAGCTCACATTTTTTAAAAAAAGAACACAAAAAAACAAGAGAAAACAGAGTACCATGAACCACAGCCTTCAGAAATTACAAATAACTGAATGAGTCTTTAAAGTCTTTAGATACTGGAGTTATCAGTCATTGAATAGAAAATAGTCATATTTAATATGTGAAATATATTTTACAAAGTAAAAACAAGATAGTTTGAAAATCATCAAACATTCTAAAAGTAAACTTCTAAAAATAAAAATAACTGAAATTAAGAACTTGGATGGATCTGATAGAAGATTAGACTGTTAGAAAACATACATGATGTAGAAGCAAGTAAAAGAAATGAAAATGCAAAAGAATGGTTAAGGGAAATTAAAGAAAGGGAGAATCCAACATACAAACAAATAAATTCCACATGGAATGTAGAGAGAAGAGACAAAGACATGTTACAACTAAGAATTTTTTGTACTTACCATATTTCCTCCAAAATAAGACATAACTGGAAAATAAACCCTAGCATGATTTTTTAAAATGCTCATAATACAAACTGTACCCCCAAAATAAGCCCCAGTTAAGATTGTTAGCCAGATGGACACATTTAGTATGCCCATTACAACACATATGAACATATTGAATTATAAAATAATATTAATATATAAATCGTTTTGGCATTTAATACTTAAAATAAATGTTAATATAAA